CCAGGAGTCTTCTCGAGCATGAAAAAATCCCAATTTCCACAGTTTTTCATGGAAACTCACGTTTAGGTCATCCAGGAGCCTCCTCGAGGATGAACAATCCCAACTTCTCCAGTTTTTAATGGAAAGTCACGTTTAGGTCATCCACGAGCCTTCTCCAGCATGAAAAAATCCCAATTTCCACAGTTTATCTTGGAAAGTCACGTTTACATCATCCACGAGCCTTCTCCAGCATGAAAAAATCCCAATCTTCACAGTTTTTAATGGAAAGTCACATTTAGGTCATCCAGGAGCCTCCTCCAGGATGAACAATCCCAACTTCTCCAGTTTTTAATGGAAAGTCACGTTTATGTCATCCACGAGCCTTCTCCAGCATGAAAAAATCCCAATTTCCCCAGTTTTTAATGGAAAGTCACGTTTACATCATCCACGAGCCATCTCCAGCATGAAAAATCCCAATTTCCACAGTTTTTCTTGGAAAGTCACATTTACGTCATCCACGAGCCATCTCCAGCATGAAAAATCCCAATTTCCACAGTTTTTCATGGAAAGTCACGTTTACGTCATCCACGAGCCATCTCGAGCATGAAAAAATCCCAATTTCCACAGTTTTTCTTGGAAAGTCACGTTTAGGTCATCCACGAGCCATCTCGAGCATGAAAAAATCCCAATTTCCACAGTTTATCTTGGAAAGTCACGTTTAGGTCATCCACGAGCCTTCTCCAGCATGAAAAATCCCAATTTCCACAGTTTTTCATGGAAAGTCACGTTTAAGTCATCCACGAGCCATCTCGAGCATGAAAAATCCCAATTTCCCCAGTTTTTAATGGAAAGTCACGTTTAGGTCATCCACGAGCCATCTCCAGCATGAAAAAATCCCAATTTCCCCAGTTTTTAATGGAAAGTCACGTTTAGGTCATCCACGAGCCTTCTCCAGCATGAAAAATCCCAATTTCCCCAGTTTTTCTTGGAAAATCACGTTTACATCATCCATGAGCCATCTCGAGCATGAAAAAAATCCCAATTTCCACAGTTTTTCATGGAAAGTCACGTTTACGTCATCCAGGAGCCATCTCCAGCATGAAAAAATCCCAATTTCCACAGTTTTTTATGGAAAGTCACATTTAGGTCATCCAGGAGCCTCCTCCAGGATGAACAATCCCAACTTCTCCAGTTTTTAATGGAAAGTCACGTTTACGTCATCCACGAGCCTTCTCCAGCATGAAAAAATCCCAATTTCCACAGTTTTTCATGGAAAGTCATGTTTAAGTCATCCAGGAGCCTTCTCGAGCATGAAAAAATCCCAATTTCCCCAGTTTTTAATGGAAAGTCACGTTTACGTCATCCACGAACCATCTCGAGCATGAAAAAATCCCAATTTTCCCAGTTTTTCTTGGAAAGTCACGTTTAGATCATCCAGGAGTCTTCTTCAGGATGAAAAATCCCAATTTTCCCAGTTTTTCCTGGAAATTTACATTTAGGTCATCCACGAGCCTTCTCCAGCATGAAAAAAATCCCAATTTCCCCAGTTTTTAATGGAAAGTCACGTTTAGGTCCTCCAGGAGACTTCTCCAGGATGAACAATCCAAATTTCCCCAGCTTTTCCTGGAATGTCACATTCTGGTCATCCAGGATGAACAATCCCAAATTTTCCCAGCCTTTCCTCCCTAGGAAAATCCATCCCTCCATCTTCCCTCACCATTCCCAACCTGCTGCCAGAGATCCCAAACTTTTTTTTGGGTTGGAAATCCCTTAAATCCCATCCCATGGGCAGGGACACCTCCCACTACCCCAGGTCACTCCAAACCCCATCCATCCGGGTTTTTTTTGGGTTTTTTGGATATTTTGACAGATTTTGGCCATCTATGACCGCTTTGGGCGCCTCATGTACGGCGGGGAGGAAATTCCCAAGGATGTTCTGGAATATGTCGTGTTTGAGAGGTACCTGGTGAACCCCTATGGAACGTGGAGGATGCACGGGAAGATCATCCCAGAGTGGGCCCCACCCAAGGATCCCATCATAAAGGTGGGGAAAAAGCTGGAAAATGGGATTGTGGGGGGGAAAAATGGGATTGTGAGGGGGAAAAATGGGATCAAGA